AGATAAAGTGCACACATACTGTAGTCGAGTCTTGAGCCCACGTTTTTTAAACCAATGGAAGCTTTTCATTACCTCTAGTAGGGGCAGCAACAGTAGAGACTAAATGCCCTTTCCTCACAAACGATTTTTTTGTCATCCTCCTGCCCTGCCCAAGAGAAGTAGTAAAAACATTACATATGAGCTTCAATGCCAAGGATTTTTTTTTAATTATTTTCCAAACTTTAATCTGAAACCCACTGCCATCATTGTTGAGCCATTGTCAAAGGCAGCGTAATACACACCAGCGGACCTGCCTCTGCATCCAGAACTTTGTTAATTCAGCATTATCGTAGGACTGGCCAGCACTGAGGGGATCTTGTTTTGCAGAGTGTCAAGTCCTCTCTGCTTCCACAGAGACCCACCTACCACCCTACAGGACTTAGCTCTGCTCCCACTGCCTATCGAGATTCCAACTCTTATTTCTATCATGACTTCGAGAAAATGGAAATTTTAGAAATAAAGGACATGTATGACAAAGCTGTACTCATAAGTAAAGGCTGTGGGATTAGGCTCTTGGACCGTGCATGTATCAACAGGCATGCGTGCCTCACTACCCCTGAGAATATAAAAGTTTTGCACTATATTACAAGCCAGTTTTTATGATATCTGAAAATGAAATAAAGCACGTGTATGACAAAGCTGTACTGATAAGTAAAGGCTGTGAGATTAGGCTCTAAGACTGTGCACCAGAACAGAAAATTTATTTTAAATGAATGTCAACTAAAAAAATGAAGCATATTTGCTACCATTATGCCTGTAGAAACTGTATGGGCACTAAAGAACAGCTACGATTTTTATACATACATATTTTATTATAATAATAAATTACATGTTTAAGAAACTTACTGTGCAAGTTTGCTTTTCTGTCTTTTGGATTAGGTATCTTGATTAAAGTATTTTCAGACAATGACTTGCTCTTTTTCCTTTTAAAATTCCAGTTAGAATAATTTAAAACAACTAGTGACCTGTAAAAGAAGTTATCCACATGTTTTTATCTTCTATCTTCATGCTGGCAATAAACACGCTGTTACTGTAATCGCTGGCAGGTGCACTCCAAAAGGACAATGCACAAGTATTCTCTGGACAGACAGAGGGAGCTGTACCTCCAGTTTTATTCTTTAAAGAGACAGCTATAAACAAGGTGTCAAGATTAAATTTGCAAACATAAAAATAAATTGTATGAAACTCCAGCTTGTTTTTGAGTATTACAACCAATCAAATTAGACTTTAAAAGCATCAGGAAAAACATAATTTGCCTAAAGATTAAGGCGTAATGAAAAAGTTTAATAAAACATAACTAAGTCAGCACAGTCAGACATTCAGGCAACTGATCACTTGCTCTGTTTCTTTTGGTTAGATTTCCCATGAACAAATATTTGCCCTTTTTCCTGTCTAAGTGGTGTATTAGCAATATTGAAGAACCTGGCACGTGATCAGTAAAATATGTCAAGAAGAAAAGTATTAAATGGCATTAATTTTAAGAAGTTGGATGGACACATATTACTGTTTTTTGAAAAAGCCCTTCCCCTCTCATTCACCCTGGAATCAGCTTACGGAACATTCAGAAAGGAAAACTCAGTTCTAACTATAAAGGAGACCAAGGGACAAATACACAGAGCTGGGGTTTGGAGCGTACATGCCTTCCCCATTTTACCCTCGATTACGCATTAGAAACCACACTTTGCATCCATGTACAGAGACTGCGCTGTCTCTCTGCTTCTGCTTATCCCCAAATAGATAAAATTAGACAATGAACTGAAAAAGTAACAGAATTCTGCAGCTGTTCAATTTTGGTAAAACTGGATGTCAATCTCATATATTACACTTTTTTCTACCACTTATTTCTTACTTCTATGATTCTGTTCTATTTCTTACTTCTTAATGACACTTTTTTCTCTTCTATCTTCTACAGGAGCTGGGAAAAGAAGAAAGGAATATATTATTCTATATTCATTTAAATTATTTGCAAGACTCATCATAGCATGCAGTTTTAATTAATCCACAAAATCCTGCTTTAATTCCAGTATACCTCTGGTGTAAAAAAAGCCTCCACATTCGCTTATGTTTCTGAAAGACTTATAAATATCATTGCATGGTATTCAAAGTTACAAATTAGTTTCAAGCAATTGCTACACACACAAAAAAATAAATGGATGGATATACTCCATTGAACAGTGTTTGTAATCTGAGTGCTAATGGTCCTAATCCTATTGAAGGGCCCTTCCTGGAGAGATTTTGGGGCACATGAGAAGCAGATCTGAACTCCTTCATTGCTCTTGCTAGAGCTAAAGATGTTAAGCAAGATGGGCAACAGCAAATTGGCTTGTGAGTTCATTACTTCTCTGTTTATTCAAATTTGTCTCATTTTTCACCAATACTTTTGTACAGTGATAGTCCAAACAATGAGTCAAGCCTCATATCGAAGTTATTTTAAAATTTAATCAAATCAAGTCACCGATAATCTGCGTCTAACACTGCTTATTGCATCCATCCCACCCCTGCACGTCACCTCTCCTCAGGGCACAGTTCCTCAGGCATCCTCCTTCATAGTGTTGTTACACTATTTACGAGCATAAACTCTCCAATTAATACCATCTCACCTCCAATACAAAGAGTAATATTAGAGCAATTATATGAACCATTAATAATCACTGAAACGCTATGCTGGAAAGCAGCATGAAACAGTCCAACACTATGTGCCTCTGGAAGAGTAGCACTTGCTACTAGTGTTTACTCAAGTCAGTATTTTCTCTGCTCGTACTACATTAGGAATCCCTTCCTACTTCCACCTATCAAATACCTTGATACATCTGTACAAAAGCTGACATTTTCAGACTGGGATTTTTCCAAGCCAAGTTTCAGTTTCAACAGACGTGACTATAAAAGACTACTGAGAAACTACTCAATTGCAATAGTTTAAAAAAAATGTGAAATTTAACATGTCACATATACCATGTTAGGAAAATGTGTCCTAGTAAGAACATAAAGACCTAATCACCTTCACATAACATAACTTCACCTACTAAATGAAAATTAAATGCTTAAAGATACAAGAATGCCTTCCCTCACCAAGGGAGTGCATTTACAAAACCTGATAGACAGTAGTTCAGCTACCATAAGAAACTGTGCCTCTGAAATTAGATGTGAGAAGTGTGGATTTTAAATGTTGTTTTAAGCATAATAAATTTTAATGCTTTCACATAATTTCCAGGATACTGGTATTTCTGCTACAGCTGGATGGTCTTTTCCTGAAGAGTGTTCCTGAACAACACACAGCATGGCACTACAACTCTAAGCTTATGCTGGCGGCACAATTTTTCCAGCCTACAACCGGAATACATTTCACTATGGAATCTTAGCTAAAAATAACATTAGCTATTTATATTTAATGTTTGGATGAGAAAAATGTCTATTTAAGGTACAGTCTGTTGTCTCTAAGATGTCAACGGTAAGTAATATTACTTGAAGTGGAATGTTTTATTTAATATTTAATAGCATGTATAACAAAACTAGTGGAAAAATATTGAAATTTCAGAAAAGTATGAAATGTCCATCATCATTTGACTGTAATTTCGGATTAGGAAGAGATGTTATCAGGTGTATACCTAAGAATACATTAAACAACTTAGCTTTACCAATGCAAGGTACTCAGATATTTCTGTATATTGTATATTACAGACAGTGAACTTAAGCCACTGTAACCCAAAAACGCCCACAGTAATCATTTACATCAATGTAAAGAGGACGATTGATGAAAATCAAGCCCAGAATGATACAGTCGGTTCTCTTTCAGAAGCTAGTGTAGTAATCATTTGGCTCAGAGTCAGAAATTGAATCTTTTATTCTTCTAGTCGAGTTTCAGGTTCATCACAAATGATACTCTGCTACCGATTTGACTATGCAAATCGATGGTTTTTCTCATGAAGAGATGAGTTAGAGGTCAAAGAAGTTGAAGCTTACACTGTTTTCTGATCGTTTTTAACATACAAAGACTGCAAATGATCTTCTTTTAAGATAAAACATAAGCTCAAAGCTAAACCCAATGCATATTAGCTTACTAAAAAATAGTTACATGTTCTACTACCTAGTACAGCAGGCCTTAGAGAAAATAAGTCAATACTTACCTAAGTAGCACCTCTTAATAAATGACCATCAGCAAAGGAGAATACTTTGTAAACAATACCACTTTTTTGATGGGTTAATTATAGTTCCATGGACACCTAAAAGTTGTACTGGATCCACTCACACAAATTAAGGTCACAGGACGAAATTTAAATGATCAAGTACAAATTTGACTGCTTGCTTCTAGTGCCCAAGTGCAAACAGTGGTCTTTCAAGTATCTTTTCTCCCCTAGATACATCTATTATTTAGAACCCATAAATATTTAATAAGCGGGTGATCACTCCAAAGTAAATATTTACTCATCTTTTAAAAAACATAGGAGTCTATTTACAAATTCCTGGACAGAACATTACATACTGATATCAATTGTCCCATAGGCACTCACGTAACATGTCAACCTAGACAGAGACATATGGATCATGAGTTCATGAGTTTCAACTCACTCAGGACTAAACTTGCCATCCAACTGAGGTGTTGTGAAATCCAGCCCATAAAAATGTGTCTGTCTCAACTAATGAATTTAGCTGTTAATGTCAGGGGCTTGAATTGAATCCAAAGGAAATAGTGTAAATGCAGCAAACCAGTGATTTTTGTAAATTTCAAGTTTGATGCTCATTATAAAAATGCGTGGTTTTTTGTATAATTATTGACACGTCGGTATATTTATTTTACCTTTTGATGCTCTACACTACATTTTTATTAAAAAAAATTCACAAAAGTAAGAAAGAAACATTCTCTAACAGTGTTTATTTTTTCAGTTTGATACTCTCTGCCCAGTTAGCCTTCTTGTAAACAAAATTTAAGGAAATTATACAATTATGAAATCATGTATTTTGTTTTAGAGTTTAATAGCAGCTCTCAGTTTGGCTGACCTTCCTCTTGGGTTTGTTTGAATATCCTGCGCCTGAGGTGTGAGAACTTTTTTTTGTATAAAAACCCACTTTGAGTTGGATTTTCCATGGGGAGATTCTTGTGTATCTTCTCTGGAGCAGTTTTTCAGAGCCTGTCTTATCTTCTGCCTTGAGCCAAGATTGTGCTTTTCTGTCATGTCTATTCCATGAAGAAAACGTTTGATAATGCGATCTTCTAGTGAATGAAAGGAGAGGGCTACAAGGCGTCCTCCAGGTTTTAGAAACTTCTCAGCTGTCTTCAGCCCTATAAAGAGTTCATGGAGCTCATCATTTACAAATATTCGCAGGCCTTGGAAAGTTTTGGTAGCAATGTGAGCAGGTCTCTGAAGCAAGTCTTTCCTTGCATACAGTGTCGATGCTGGAAAAGCACCTGTCATAAATTTTAAAAGGTATAAGTTAATATCTTATATTTTCTAGCTGCGTGAGGACTTCGAAGGAGAGCATTCTTAGAAGTGAACCCTGAGTGGTGAGCTCCCTTCTGTACAATATACTTATTTTCTGCTTTTAATTCACATTTCTGAAAGTAAACTCTATTTTTATAGAAACTTTCATATATCATCATTTAATGTATTTTAGGCTTGTTTCTTCATTATCTGGGTACAGAGCAAAAAGCTAGGGAATCACAGAATGGCCTAGGCTGGAAGGGACCTTAGAGATCATTTAACCCAACCTCCCTGTCATGGGCAGGGACGCATCTCAACCAGATCAGCCAACACATGGGGACCGAGCGGGTATTTGATGCATCAAAGGCACTAAAGTGCAAGAGTCTTACAAGATCTGTGAAACCTGAATAGATATATATTCTGTTATGTAAGTGAGCGCAGGACTTTGGTAAAGATAAATTGAATAAATCATGTTAGCACATAACTGGAGAGAACTATTATTCCAAACAAGAGAGCCCATTAGAGACAAGGCGATAGAGCTGGTACACATGTATTAAAATGCCTTAATTCCATGCTGCTGCTAAACTACAACATAATAAAGCAGTGGGTTAGAAGTAAATGCGGTTCATAACCAAGTAGTTAATATTCTACATAGTGGAGCACAAAAAGGGAACATAGTACCTCTGAAACAAGTTGACTAAATTCACGTTTACACAGGTGATTGATTAAAAAAATAAGAGAGATATCACAATGCAGTATGCTGGCACAAAATAATTTGTAAGTGGAATTCTTCAGAGTTTTAAAGTTAAGATTTTACTTGGGTCAGAAAACGTATGTGGCATCACAAACACACAAGCAATCACCAGTGTTCAGCAAAGAGAGAGGCCAAAAATGGGATTTAAAAATTCAACAATTAGTAACAGTTACTGCCACTTACATAATGTATCTAAGGTGCATTTCTGCATACTCAATTTTCTCAGCTACATCTACCTCTCCTGATTCTAAATGCCAGCAGTCCCTGAATTAACTGGAGACCCATCACAGCTGTGGCTCTTCCCTGTTCCTATAGTCTGAATCCTTGGAGACAGCAAGTGGCGGAGCTCAGCTTCTCCATCACTTACAAACTCCAGAAAAAGTTCCACTAGCTAGTTAATGTTTCCGTCATTGAGAACACCATGTTCTACATATTCTATAAGTCATAAAAAGAGTAGATGCCCTCATTGTTTGAGTCACAAAGCCTGGCTTCATGAAAGCTGAACAAAAATGAGAACTCAAAATTGCAGAAGGCAAGATGTCACATGAAACCGACTGCCATCACACTTGTACTACCTGGCACAATATTTGTTCCTATATTTTTTACATATCTAAAAAGAGATTCTTTGAAAATGTAATCCTTAAAACACCTACTGACTGCCACTTCTGTGTGAAAAAAAAAGTCGTCTCTTAATGCATAACATAAAGGAATGCTGTGCTAAACAAAATAAACTATTTTCTTTAAATGGCCACCTAACAGCTACAAACACTAGCAGTAGGCTCAGAACTCTTGAAGAGTTATTAAATGAAACACCTCATTTTAAAATCGGCATGTAACGTATCCAAAACCACCACAGGACTTGCATGTTTCCAGAGCATGCACCAAAGTGACATAAATATAGGTAGCTTCCTATTCACCCTAAGACCTGTCTTAGGTTTTGCTCATAATATCACTTCACCGGAATTTGAAGTCGAAACATCAGACACCCAGGTATCTTTTGAATTCAGTTAGAGAAGCCATGGTCTCTTGAATAAAAAAATACTCGTTTTGTAAAAGATCTTACACAACAAATCTATCTCTTTCTAAATCTACTTTTAAAACTTACTGAAAACAAATCTCACTTCTCCTGCCCCTTTCCAAACGAAGCCCACTGCTGCTGCCATATTCACTCCATGAAAACAGTTGTAGCTGGAATGAAGAAGCACTGTGCCCTTGCAAAATACCAGCTATGTACAGGCTGGTGGGTTAGCAAACAGTGCATTTTTTCCAATTTTACCTGTATTGCTCCTGTCCCTTGCTGAACAATTTACAGCTGTGACTTGAAGAGCGCCAGTTTTATACTTTGAATTGTGGGCTGTTACTATCCAGAGCTGGTTTTCACCTCTCAAAGGAGATTCAGAATTTTTAACTATCCTATTTTAGCAGTCTAAGTATTTTCTAAAAATACTGCTGGCTTTCTGGGGATATTCCATTTCTGATACACTAAGACTATTTCCAAAAGTATCACAGATAAAAATGAAGCCAACCCACAAGAATACAGCATGTGATTTAGGTACAAAACTGACGTACATCTTGATTGGCATCTAACCATAAAACCAGAAGCCTAGAATCAGATCTTGTTTAAACCTCCACAGCCAATCTCACCAGAACTTGAGTAAAATACCAGAAGTTTTATCTCCTATGGCACCCTATTAGCTTTTACTTCTCTGAAGAAACAGGGATGAGGTAAAGATCTACTTTTTTTTTTTGTAAAAATCTAAATAGACTTGACATGCTACACATTTTGCCTAATGTTTAGTAGTCTGATCACGAACAGTGTTATCTTGCCATTGCAATATTGAACAGATAAACAAAAGAAATGGGATACCAGCATGAACAGGACAATAACAGGTCTTTGAAAGGTTCTTCCGTTTGTCCTAACGTGGCTGTCGAGTACAGTGACTTTCTACAATAATCTTCTATGATGATTAACGGTGACATTAACTTATCACTGTGAATTAATTTTTATCACACCAAAGAAAAATAAATTAAACCCCAGATATATTCTGCATCTATAATACCAACTTAGATGCCTCAGCTGAACATCCATGAAGAGCACTGCCAGCCATAGATAATGGTACAGAATTCAGGAAACTGATAAAGAAATGCAGCCACTTTGCAGCTTTATGTGAACAAAACAGAGCAAATCAAAACCAAAATGAAACCATTTTCAAGTCCAAAGACTTATTGGTCTGTCTTCAGAGACTGGGATAAATTAATAAATGTGGGAGTGATTTCTGCCACATCAGCCTTCATCGTTTTAGTAAAGGCAGTAGATTTTTGACATATGTTCCAGGGGTGATAAATTTTCCTTCCCCACTCTTAGTCCCCTAGTATAGTTAAATAAAAACCTATTTGTGTTTTCTGCTAAGGCACAAAACCTCTCACCCAGCCCCCTCCAATTACCACGATACTAAAAGAAAATCCTTCCTGGTAACAGGCTGTACAATGTACAAAAATATAAGAAAATCTGTCCGGGAAGCTTGTAAAATGAATTTCATTCATAAAAACACCACGCTTCTGGCTACATGACTGGTTTGAAATCCCAGGGAGAGAAATTATCATTTTTAGTTTTGGGATGCCCCGATGATACTTACACTTTTAAAAATGTAACAGATTCACATGTTGAAATGTATTAAAATTTTAAAGCTTGTGAATAAAATTAGCAACGTGCTGAGCCTGTCAATATGAACTATTAAAGTCCCCAGAGTGTATGAGAGTGGGAGAGTTTAAAAATTAATTCAGATCGTGCACCTGTTTGCAGGAATCCGTCTGTTGAATTAGCATTGCATATAATACGTTTTTGTGACGCAACTAATGTCCTTTTGTCTAGGCTCCCCCAGTACAGTGTTAATTCTCACCCATCTGAAATTCACTATTACAAATGAAATGCACTATTACAAATTCCAAACTGATAATTAAAGTCTATAAATGTGAACCAATCGGAATGAGACTGGCTCTACCCCAAGTTTCTTTTAAACTTTTCAATTTTCTTTAATATCTCCTCATCAATTTCTTTCAATTTCAATCCAAATGATTATATAATCTCAAAATGATCTGTTCATAGAATGCATATCTAAAGAACACAGAGAAAAATTAAACTGTGAACAAATCCTAATAGATAACAAGGCATATTACGCACTGAAAAGAAATAAAAAAATAAATCACCAGTTGTACAGAAAAAGTGTATCACAACTGCATTCTAAAAATATCACTATTCTTATCCCATTTTCCTGCACGTTTAGTTGAACTATTGTTTCCAAACAACTCAATGAACTACAGCAAAAGCCATCAGAAAGTGCTTCTTAACCAACTGCCACACATCTATTCACAGACCTTCAGTGGAGAACAGTCCTAAAATTGTTTTGACTACTTGTATACTGCAAAAAAAAAAGCACACAAAACATACATATTTACTGTCTTGGCAGATATGTGCTGGATTCATTGTGTTTGGCATGTATAGTACCTGATGCATACCTGATTCATGTAACGAGTTGCTCTTCAAACACAGTAGAGAGTTTAAAGCAAGAATAAAAAACCCTCTCATTGTCACAGAAAGTGACCATTAAGTCATGATTGACCTGCAGCACATTCAACACAGAATCATAGAATTGTCTAGGTGGGGAAAGACCTTTAAGATAATCAGGTCCAACTGTTAACCTAATACTGCCAAGTCCACCACTAAACCATGTCCCTAAGGTCATGAAAGCATCTTCAATCATTGTGTTTTATGTACTAGTATTTTTATTTTCCTAGTTCAATCTAGTGCACAGCATTATTTCAGAAGTTACTTAATTGCTTTTTTACAGCCTATAACATATCTTGAGCACAGCAACATCGTTGCTTCAACCCCAATAACAGCACACTGTTTAAATCAACAGTTTTTCAAAAAGCATGAGATACTTGTGGCAAAAACTTAAATTTTTAGCTCATGATGTTGGTGATGACTGTATTAAAAACTCTTCAAGTTTTATAAAAGACTCATAGTGGTTTATCACAGTTTTTAAGACTGTTTGTTCCTCACATTCATGATATTTATAGCAGGGACTTACAATAGCAAGCAGTGGCTTCAGATACTTTAATTCCATCAGAGAAACTTTGGGCCTCAGTTGACTGGACATTTTGCTCAAGTATCCTGACTTAAATCCAAACACTTTAATTTGTTTGTGAGTCGTTAAAAGTAAGTCTCTTAAACTTCCAGTTTAAGTAATAAAAAAATATATCGTACTCATAAAAATTTGCAAGTCTTCAGGATACCGACCCAAGATTTAACACTGCTCCTCAGCAAACGTTAAAAATGGATAGCCATGTTAAAGGTCTATATTAAAGGAGTCACTGGGTTCCACTTATTTGTGACAAGGTCCAATAATTCTCATTTCCTGGGTGAAAAAAAAAGTCTCAACATATTATAATGCTGATGAATAGGACTTGTGGCTTATATTTTTCCTTGAAAATTCTCACCTGAGAAAACAAACATGAAGGTTCTTGATGTGAGCACAGTCCCTGCCTAATCACATCTTGTTCAAGTTGTTTACAGTGAAGAGAAAGTAAGATGAAGTGTTTCAATAGTGGCTTCAGGCTGATCTCATTGGCATTCACACAGTGAAGTAAGCTATGTATTGTTTTACTTTTTGCTTCCTGGCTCTTTAAGAAGACAGAAACAATGTGATTTCATTCATAATTGGAAACTGCCATGGTACTTCCCCTCAAAATATTAAAACATAGAAATTTAAGAGATGTATGTGACGTATTTGATACGTGAAGGCTTATCAATAGCTGGGATAAAGAATTCCCTAGGCTGCTGTCATTCTGTGTTTCAACTTGGTTGGCAAAATGATAAATCACTTCATGTAAAACCTATTATTAAACCAATCAAATTACAACGTAAAAAGTGAGAGCATAAAAAAAAAAAAAAAAAAAGAGTTGACATCAGAGCAGAATAGGCAGGATTAGATCCTGCCTGATTTCAAGTACAAATAGATCCCTCTAGGACTTTGGGGATTAATATTTTTTTCTCCTCAGCCACTGTGAAGAATTAATGAGGGCACCTGCAACAATGCTTGCAAGCTGCTGAGTTCTAGTGATGGGGTATATGCTGCGTGCCTGAACGATGGCTGAAGCGATTTTCTTGGCGTGCCTCTCCTCGCCGTATGTTCTCAGGATGGACGCAAGCGCCTGTTGATCTAAAGCGTTCACAACATCAGCAGCAGTGGGCATGTCAGGGTACCTACGCACAAGAAGAGCCAATTAGTTCACTGACGTCAGTTTTCATTGACAAAAGGTGAAGCTTCATAGCATTGAGACATAAAGTCAAACACATACACTGCATACAAGTGCCTTTGAGGTTTTCAAATAAGAGACAGACAGAAACAGATATAGCTTGCACCTTTGAAATCCTTTTTCTTGCTACTTTAAATGGAGTTTGTTCCTTAACATCCACTAGAACAGGTGAAACTTCCAATTCATTATCATAAACCATGCTTAATGAGTTGACAAGAATAAATACATTTGAGTATCATGTTAAAATGCAAATGTTGGACGACTTTTTATTTAGCCAGCTTTTGAATATAAATTTGCCCCTTATGATTTCATTTTAGTCACACTGTGTGTCAATTTCTGGTCAGAATTTATTTCAAGGATCTTTTCTTTCACATCTGCTGTAAAAGCAATTGTTCACGAAAATTTCACTTTACTTTTCACTAAAAGGCATAAGATTTTATATGCAAATACCGTTTTGAGAGAATAGAAATGAGCTAATATTACAAATGACAGGAAATTATTACAATATAAACAGGATAAGCCAGACATCTATTTTTTTAATCTCTGTCAGTTTGCTATTGAAATAGTTCAAGGTGTATTAAGAACATCACATATGGGTTTAATAATCAGAGAAAATAGACAATCTACTTAATAAATTCTCTTCTACAAAGACATGAATGCGCAGAATATTTTTCAGGCATTTATTAGTCTCCCGCAGTATCTAACAAAAGGTAACAAAAACTTAGAAATCAGAGGCAAGTAGTATCATAGCAACAACTGTAGTGTAAGGCTTTTGTTATGCCACAGGTATCCTTTGTTCTTACGCTCCTGTTCCATGTATGTGTTCTCACGATGCAAATATAAGCCAGGAGTTCAGCTTCGTGAAATCTGAAGGCTGAATCCCAGGAGAATCACATGAGCTTTTTACACAAAACTGGAGAAAAACTAAGAAATCTGCTGTGTTAAGACTTAATTAACATTAATGTGTTAAGATAATTCCTTAGAAACTAAGGCTTCCCGTCGGCTCTATGTGAGCAATGAAAGATCAAATGATAAGACTACAGGTGTATCAAAACAGAAATCAACAATTTTCATTTTCCCAGTAACACATTATGCAATTACTGCCATCACCTATACAACAGAGATCTCTGCTTGTTCTTGAAAAAAGCACAGTGCTACAGAAACATACTAAATTGTTTGAAAATAAAAAGTGCCACACAAGCAGAAATTATCATTCCACCACTGATTTTCATGCTCCTGAATGAACTAAACACCAATTCTCAAAAATTAAATAGATCTGATTTATGTTGTAATTATTAATTTGATGATTAAACAAGCCTGATGTGCCTCCTATCCAATGTGAAAGGAAGCTTATAATATTGTTAAGGAAAGCTATGGGCATAGAAAACAGCATTATAATAGTGTGTTAAAAGCAACACTGATGTCCAATTTCAGCTGGCAGATACTATGGATGGGATTTTATTTATTTATTTTACATTATGTTCCTTTTAGAGAGAAGTAACTGGGTCAGGTGGTCATTGCAGAAAAGAGGGAGGTAGCTCCTCTCCTGAGGGAGCAACTGAACGTGCTCAAGTAAAGGTTCCACAAATAGTAACTGTGGCAGGAATGGAATGGGACTGCAGCAAAGGGCTGTGAGTCTGCTGATAAGTACACTCTGAGAAACTGGGGAAATAACTGGAAGAAGACAGGCCTCAAAGAGAAATGCCCCTGCGGCTGTATACCATACACTCCAAAAATTTAAAAATTCAATGGTATAGTTAAAAAAAATGTTACTGGTTTACTCATCACTGGAACTTTCCTCTTATTTCAAAGAAGGAAAAGATGATAACCAGGGTTCTAAGTACTGAGATCAAAAAAAGCTTTGTGCAACTGAAAGACAGTATACTCATGTGAGATTAGATGTGGTTTGGTGATGAGAATTCTTCAATTTAAGATGAAATTAAATGCACAGGAGTTGCCCAGCACACAGTTTTTGAGTTTCAAGGAGAAATATTTTATTAACAGGCACCTGTCACTATCCATCCTCATGTCCAAAGGTCCGTCCTTCTGCAGGGAAAAACCTCTTTCAGGTGTATCAAGTTGCATAGAAGAGCAGCCAGCATCCAAGAGAACGCCGTCTAGAGTCCCTGGCTCAACTCCAGAGGAGATTAATAAAGCCTCTGACTGGCTAAACTGTCCTAGAAGAGCATGAATCTGTTTCCTGTAAGAAAATAACAAATAAATAGCCTCAATTCTAATGATAGCCGTTCAGTGTCTTCCCCTTGTATAGCAGGA